GGACTTTTTTCTTGTTAAATTGTGACATAATTCTCATAATATTATGAATTTGCGTCGTTAAAATTGCGACATTATTCAGGTGACATCATGACTCTATTCTTGTTATATTATGACATCATTCTCATATCATAGTGCAGCACTTTAAAGAGATGTGAAGGGGGTGGTCACCTGACATGGAATTAAACAATCTCAGACAGGCGCGCCGAAATCGCGCTCTCATTGGCTGTTTGGCTTCCCACGCTTTCAACATGCTTCACTGTGATTGGCTCATGCGCGTCTCTGTGGCTGATGAGGACCAATCATATCAACGCAGGTGTAAAACGCGGACTTTACAACCTGAAATCTACCGACGCTGCCAACAAGCGCGACGGGTGAGAAGCGACTCGTGCGGCGGATGAGCGAACTGTTCGTGGACCCTCCGGATGAAGGAGTGAATGATGGCGGTGTACCCGGGCTGTCTCCTCTCGCGTCAGGACTCGAACCTGGAGCTCTGCGGTGTTTGCTGACAGGACCGTGACCGATCTGTCAGGGGGGGCCTCGCTCACCGGATCCCACTCGCCATGATCCCGGGTCTAAGGTAAGTCCCTGCCGCTCGTGTTGACGTTCACCGCTGCGGACAACACGTGTGTTTTCTTTGGCTCTGCGCTGCTTGTGTTTGCTTGGTGGTTTCTCTGGTTGAACTTGGCTGCTGTGTTGTCTCTGGTTTAAAACATGTGATGGATGATCATGGCCGCTGCCTGCCTGCATGTGATGCTGTACTGCTGGGTGCTGTGTTTGCTTTGCTGTTCAATCTGTGTGCATTCAATGGAGATGTGTGTTGTCTCTCCTTTGCAGTGTGTGTGCACGGATCTGATTCTAATCAAAAATCATCAGTTCATGCCTTGTTGCCTTGGTCCAGTATTGTGCTCAATTGGTTTCTGCATATTTTACCCTGGTGAATTGTTTTTGTTTCATCATGTTAATACCTCATGCATGCTTTACTTTTAATATTTAAACTTTGTTTTATATTTGTTGATGTGATTTATATCGCTTTAACTCCTGCTCATTACCAAACTGGTCAGATAGACAAGAGTGGAGAAGGCCTGGTTTTCAGGAGAGCTACTTGCGTTTCTCTACGAAGTCGAGGAACATAGCTGTAGACCAAGAGTATTCATTTGTGGAATATCATACTGTGCAATATGTATGTTGAAATATTAGATGTTCAATGTTTGTGTCAGTCAATAACTAACAAATCAAAGTATAATGCTATCAAATGTTTACAATATTGATTGTCAGCCTTCAGGTTGAACTGGAGGGAATATGAATAGAATCATAATCAGAAAGCCACTGTTGCCTTTATAAGCGCTGCTCCTCTTTGGTGCACTAAAAAACTAACATATGAATACATTTAAAAGAACAACTAATAAAATAGTAAGTAATAATATAATATGTATGACACTGCTCTAATAAAAAATAAAGTGAAAATGTAAACTTGTAAACTCACTTATCAGTCTCAAACAATTTTCAAAATGTTTGTATACATCTTGAGAAGTGAACAGTTTCAACAGCTGCTTTCTCTACCTTTCTCTTCTACTTAAATCTAACCTCCTGGTCTGGAGCGTGGCCCGTCTTAAAGTGACCTCCGTTCTAGACTATTTCCCCAATGGGTTGGGTCTGAAATCACTTATTCATTCACTCCTGGGAAGGGGCTTCTATTTAGAGGACAATATAGTCTCATAGGCAAAGTGAAAAACACCACGTCGGTAAGTACTTCATTGTTGTCGCACATTTAAGATGTGCCATATCAAAATCGGTCAGCACATTCTACTGAGTGTATTTTCCCACATGAATAAATAGAATATATTTAGTGTCTGCAACAACTTATAGCTTTCTATCAGAGCTATTGTATTTGCAGCTGCCTTCTATTTAGTCACATCTGAAGCTTTCAATTCACTTCTTTTTATTCAGACATGGCACAATTATATTTTATCATCATACAGTACTCACTCCTCATCCCATTTTTCTTGAATTTATTCAAAGCCTGATGGTCTTTATTTCTCCGTTTGTGGCCATTGGATGTAAACTTCTTTTCGCAATGTATTGTGGGATCCAGTGAGTCCGTCATATAGGTTATAAAAATCCTCACTATCATGCAGATAGCACTACAGAAGACTATATAATGAGTAGTGAGTGATGCAAATGTGCATGTGATGTGCACTGTCTTCACCACTTCACAAATATTGTTTTGCAAGCATTTAAAGAGAAATGCAATACGCTTCACAGAACATTCCCCTTGTATCAAGCTGCTGTTAGTATTCTGCGGCATGTTCATGAGATGGATGAGCTCCCCTCAGATGAAAAGGGTTTTGCTATTATTCAGGGGAAATTGCAACATGCTTGTTGTCCAATGCACTCCCTGCTAAATCTTATTGAGCAGCGAGCAATATGTTTTTGTTTTGGAGGATTAGCTCTCTCTCTCCCAGCAGAATCCTTGTCACTTCTCAGATTCCTTGAGAGCTCCCTTAAACAGTCGAGTCTTTTCCACCAACTCTGTATTACTATGAAAGGTGAAGTGAGTTTGTGTGACTGAGGCCGATTCACAACCGAAAGTCCAGACCATGGTCCGAACCAAGGTTCAATGAATGTCCTCATAGTACAAACAACATCAGCAGACGCGATGACTACAAACCGCTTCGGTTGCTCGATGCTCTCTCAACTTCCTGCAATTTGGTCCAAAAATCTGAACCATGCAAAATGTTTTCATACTGCAAATGATCCAAACCATGGTTCACTTTGATCTGTACTGAGACCACCTCTTTTGGTCGGATTAAAATATGGTCTATTGGTCCGGACTGCAGTCCAAGGCACCTCTCACTTTTGGTTTTCACAAAAGTGAAAAGTTCAAAGGTCTGGACCAAAAAAAAGGTATGTGTTAGCACCCTGAATGTTTAGGCAGAGCACTGACGTTGCTCTCGCATTAGCAACACCTGTTTACAATATGTTTTACACCTGTTTATTGGCTAATTCACAGCTGGGCAGTGACTAATGTCCAGTCATCTGCTACAATCCTCATTACGCTCATACCAATGCTGCACCACTTCACCCTCCTATGTGATAACTAGCATTGTTGATGTTCATACATATGGTTCACTAAAGGGAAATCAGATCTCAGCAGAATCGTCAGCTGCTAAATCAGGCTATACAGCCACGTTTTGGGTCTGGCAGTGTACTTGTAATATCTTTAAGTGACTTACTCGTGCATGACAGGACGTACAACAGTCTCTCCTGTGGTGTGGGCTTTGTAGAAGAGCGTGTAGAGGTAAGGCAGGAGTGTGTAACGTATCCTCAGGTAATGTTTGGAGCTCTCCACCAGCATTGAACCAGCGCCAAACTCAGCTGGATCCTGGGGCTGGAGACAGAAGGATGGATTCAAGAGATGGCATTGATAAATGAGAGGGAAGGAGGGGCAAAACCAATAAAGATTTTTCTTTTATTCACAGGAGGAAACAAAAAGAGGGAGATTAGAGGGTGAAGTAGAGAGTGAGTGAAGGAATAAATATTGTGGTAACTGGAGAGATGGACTTGAAACGAGAGGAAGGAAAGGTGTGAAGAGGGATGAGATGCTTGACAAAAAACATTGAAAATGTATTCATAATAAGTAAGTGGACATTAACCTTTATTAACAATGATTAAAATACAAATTAACTTTTACACAGAACTAATTTTACTAATTTTGCAAATTGTGTAAAGAGAATGAGCAAAGGAGAAGTTAAGAGAAAGGAATGGTGGAAAAATGTGTGAGAAAGGGACAAACGTATGATTTAATTTCTGTGATAGTGGAGAGTGAAAGGGTGATTAGCTGCTAACAGGCCATGTTCCTCTCATCTGGCTAATCATTTATGCCCTTGGCCCCTCTGGGAGTGTGATGAGAACTCTGTGTGATTGTGTGTGTGATTTTTGTGTGTGTGTGTGTGTTTGGACTGGCTTGTATGGCTGTGTGACGAGAGCCATGATTAGGGCAAAGCAAAGGTCACACATTAGCTGTCTCGTTTAGCGGAAATCGTACTTCAAATTCATCATCATCATCATGTCCCTGTTCTCCAGCAACTAGACCCCCCCCCCACCGTTTCATTCTAATCCCCCCACCACCTCAGTGCTATTTTTGCATCATTGATGAGTGTAGAAACGTCACATGGAGAACATTGCCAGAGAAATGTGCGTGTGGCTGTGGTAAAAGCAATCATATATTGGATTGGATTAGGTTGGTTTGGATTAGGTTGGTTTGGATTAGGTTGGTTGACGCTTTTGTTCTGGTTCTCCAGAATCACAAATAAAAAAAAAATAAATAAAAAAAGCTGGAACACATTGACTGAAATGCATCAGCTATCAGCTGATTATCTGCATTCATTAGCAGATGGCTGTTATTAGAGATTAGCCAAAATGTCGTCTGGACCTAAAAAACCACAGAAAGTATCACTGTTTGTGTTTTGTGCAGAGAAATGTTCGACTCGTGTGATGAAAGAAACTAGCAAGACTTTAAGAGTGAATGGCTGATGGAAGACAGAGTTTTGGTCCTGATATACGCAGTCTACTTCTGAAGCATCAAAATGTTGTCTGTTGCCCCAGAGGCTAATTTGTCATGAGATGATGACAGAGATTGACTCTGTTGGATTCTGAATGTTTTACATTCCAGCAACTCCTGTTTGTTCGAGTAGTTATTAGGGATAGCGTTAGATTCATTGGTTGTTCCTATTTTGAAGCCTTTTCCATTTTAGCATTAGAAGGCAAACAAACATTTCAAAAAACTAAACAGTTCAGCATAAATGTGACTTGGTTTATGTCCAAGTAGGCAAGATGACCAGCTCCACAGTCAAAAAGTCTGATGCTACACATGTGATCAGAGCCACAGTTGGAGTTTAAGAGGTGTTGAGTAGAGAAGAGATAACAGTGCCAATTCAAAGGTTTGTTAGGCTCCGATGCCATATGGCACATCATGCTGTGGTAGTTCAACATAATTTAACATTGACATTAACATTTTACTAAAGTGTAAAATTTCCCCCTCTTCGATGAGTATCAGTCTGGCACTGAGCTTCTTAGCTGCGTTTTACTCCAGGCTCAGATGTTCCAATACCCACATTCCCAGTGTTAAACCCAGAATCAGATGTCCTGCTGCTCCTATTTTATAACACAACTCTGCCAGTGCTGGTGTGATGACAATCTCCATGGATACTGAAAGAAGTTTCTATTTTTAAACACTTGGAGAAAAGTGTATATCCTGCAGCGCTTTAGACCAAACAGTGGCCATTTGATACATACATCTAAAACTGACAGTGTAATATGAAAATGACAGAGGAAAAAGCCTTCACGGTACCTTATAGCCCTGAGCGTTGTGGTTCCGACTGAAGGGATAGAAGGCTCCCACCTGCATCCAGCGACGGCACAACTCCTCACTGGAGTCGTCAAAGAATCCGCAGATGTCAGCTCCAATCTGAAACAAGTTCAGGGACGACAGCTTGACATTCAGCCACAACAGTACATTTCTGCCTGGGTCTGAAATGTTGTTTCAAATGTGTTGGAATCATACGCTTGGCATTCCATTTCAGATAGAGAAAAGGGGATGTTGTGGGTTCTGGTCTGAGGTTGTGTTATGAATATAGATCACAGTAGCTCTTTATTCCAAATGTCAGAAAGAGAACCAACAACTGATTGTGTTGGGTCAATAAATAGCCTATCCAGCAGTAAAAAAATAGAGGCACTGACATGATCTTGGCTGTGTATTTTTCTTTCAAAATGTCTTTTTTGATGTCTCAATTTGGTCAAGGCAACCAGTAGGTGTGAGCAGTGATCTTTATTTACATTAATTGCACAGCAGAGTCCAAGAAAGAGACTCCAGTCCAAAGGCCGCTCCTTGGAGACTGCTTGCTTTCTATTGTTTACGACTGGCCACATTCTACGACACACTCAATGGGAGGGATCGATCCAAATCCCATTCCTCCTGCTTTCTCCCTTTCTGTGTGTGTGTGTGCGCCGTAGAGTCTAAAATCAGCTTGACACAATCCCGCTAGGATGTAGTTGACATCTATAAGACCATCTGACGCGCACAGTTGGAGTGCATGTGTTTGCATGTGTTCGACCCCCTCCCTGTAGTTTCCTGAGCACTGTTTGCGCTCTACGCTCTACACATACATGTACAACTTTCATATCATTTTCTTGTGTGTGTGTTCGAACATGTTCCTGTTCTTCCAGATGTATTAATGGATCTCATCCCAGACGCCATTTCTCTGGCCTACCCCTCTGTGTTTAAACTTGTGCCTGAACATAAATCTCAATTAGCAGATGAATCCTATTTAAAGAGGTAAAAGGGAGAAGTGCATGTTAAAATCTCTTTGTCAAGCATACATCATAACATTTCTGCCTCTTCATACTGTGAATGTATAAAATAGCAATGCCAATTGATATTTGGTAAAAAATGAACCAACATGTATGGAGCTTTCATGTGTTTCTTTGTTTGTTTACCAAATTAAAAATGAAAGAAAAGATGAAAGAAAGCATGGCTGCATATGTGCTATAACAATGTCACATTTAAGAAGGTTATGCCAGAAAGCAACAAAAATAACGTTTCTCTACAAATCCAAAGGCTCATAGTTCTAAAGTGAAATGTTAACAACTGTTGTGAAGTGATGTTTGAATCTGCAGTCGGTTAAAAACTGTCCCAATAATAAGCCCTATCATGGCAACAATGTAAAAGTATTTTTTTATTTCCCCTGTCAACCTGTATTGAAGCCAAACATGAACAGTATCTGCCCTTCTGTGATGACTTGATACTCACATAGGGAACCCCAAACAGCCCAAACTCGAGCATGCCAGGGATGGCCCATTTTATGTCGTTCCAGTTGGCGGCATTGTCCCCCAGCCAGTGACCCGAATATTTTCCCACACCTGGGAAGGAGGAGCGGGTCAACATCAGGGTACGGTTTCCTCCGAACACTCTCTGCAGAGCTCTGTGGGAGGGAGGGGGAGGCAGCGAGGAGAGATGCAGAATAGGGTCGGGAAGCGATGGAGAGAGAAAGAGGTCATTAAGATAAAAAAGGACCTCGGGAGCGAAGGCGAGAGAATCAAATGGCACGAGGGAGAGACGTATATCAAACACACGAGCACAAACATGCTCACAGAGTGGAGCCAGATGAAGAGATATGAAATGAGATGGGGACACAGCCAGAGCTGGAAGTGCTTTTCCTTCTCCCATTGTACAGTATTGTGTTTGATGAGGGAAATTGATGCAGCATTGATTTCCATGACAATACAAAACCCTGATGATGTTTACAAAATGTGTCTCCTGCCAATAATACGTTTCAATTAGTGGACAGACAGAAAGGAGACGAAAGAGCTTGGTTTAATGGCAAAGGAATGAGTCAGCAATTCCACGTCACAGGGCTGATATGGTTTCCAATGCAAGTATATGCTTCTCCCTGTGTGCATGAAACCATGTATGCAAGTATTATGTTTCCCTTTGTATTATAGGTAATACTGTGCCTCTGGGGACATCCAATAAATAACATAAGCTGCTTTTATTTTGGTTAGGGATGCAGTAACACATATTTATTACACCTTGGGAACTATCAAACAATCATTTTATTGCCAAAGTGGTAGCAGCAGAAAGCCTAAATTTAAATTGTCACAACATAAAAGCCAAATATGAATGTTGAATCACTTTCTGCTTATTGACATCCAAGGATATCGTTGGGATGCGTTGTAGCCAAACATCATGACAACCTTTTGGAGATGTCACTCTTATTGAAAAACATAAAGCAATGCCATAGGATCACTGTGAAAGAAGCTCTTCTTTACTGTGTACTATACAATGCTGCGAGTAGAAACAGGTAAAGATCAACATCTGAAGAGTTACTCTTGCATTTTATTCAAATTCAATGATTTATTTGTTTTTGTTTTACATCTGAGGTACATTAATAAGCTCATGGCAGCAATGAATCAGCACAAAATATATGGAAAGTAACCCAGTAAGCAGGTGCAGGGGAAGCAAAGCAGCCCTTGCTGACATGAGATGTGTAACCTATTGGGAGAGTTGAATGTTATCAATACTTTGACAATTCATTAGTCTTTCCCTGGCACCACCCATTAGTGAAGGTGTGTGCTGCTTCCAAATTGGTACGGTTTCCCATACCATCAGCATTAGTGCGAATTACATTTGCAACTATTGCCAACTTTAGCCTTGTGTGGAATATTTATGGCTGATAGTTTGGAAACTATATAAATCTGCTGTAAGACTTCAGTATATTGCTCTGTTTAAGTGGCGTGTATGGGTTTCCACCTAGTTACTCATCTTAATTTCAACCAAAGATCAAACTCATCATCCCTCTTCACCATCATGGTACTTAAACACAGTTACAGAGGCGAGGGGAACTTTATGGAGCACGCTTAATCTATCTTTTTTTTTTTATTGGAGAAAGACTGGTGTGTCTCATGCATGCACAATGCACATGACGTTATATTCAGTACAGGCTTGAGTGTGTTGCACCTAAGCCTTTAAATGGTAGAAAGATCTCTGATTGTCCTGGCTGTGCATGAAATGCATCTGCACAAAATGTTTCATGTGTTGGTGGAAAATGTGTGCCTGATGATTCATTTGAGAACGAAACAAACACAAATGAGTCTCGTAATAACTTGTGATCAGTGCTAGTGTTTATTGTGCAATGTGAGCTCAAGTCAGTGGGGGAGTGAGGAGGATCAGGTCAGGATTCTGATGCACAATACAAGACTGAAACCCTGAAGTGTGTGTAGGGTGTGTGTGTGTGTGTGATGATTCCCCATATTCTTATTTTCCTAATGTTTTTTCATACCCTGAGAGAGAGGGCATATCTTCAAAAAAAGCATGAATAAACTTTAACCTGCTTTATCACTGAATGTCAATGATTACATCCTCTAGTTATACTGAGGCCCCTCTGCAGGTTTGTGTAAGTAATGGAACCTTTATACTGTTTCAAAGCCAGACCCAAATGAGAAATCCATTCTCTCACCCTGGGAGTAAGGCTCATTAACACATATTTCCTCACTTATCACTCGGGATCCAAGTTGCAAATGGTCTCTAAGAGTCACAAGCTATGATTTAGCAGCTGGTATAATTCATCACGCTGCACTGAAACTACAGATCTTCTGCATGTCAGCTGCATAATTCTGTTCCCAGGACCTCTGACTCTAACTACACTTGATTCTAAAGAGTTTGTGTTTTCACATCACACTGTGCAATTTGGGTTTTGCCATTGCCACATTTCTCTGAAGGGGTGGCAGCAAGTTGGCCTCTATACTCTTACACAAGCTGGCCAAACTACTTCTATCATTGATTGGGAATGCACTCACTTCTCAGTCGCCAGCACCATAGAGTAGCCATACAGACTGTGGACATCATAGTGGTTCCCCCAGGCCTGCTTGGCATCCATACACAGAGTCTTACTGTACATCACCTCATCCAGAATCCCTGGGGGGTGAGAGAAAAGATGAAAGAGGCAAAGAAACAGGGTGAGGGGAGGTATGGAGTGAATACAAAATAAAGGGTGCATTTGAGGGAAGGAAAGCAAGGTGGGGGAAAGAGAGAATGAGAGAAGTTGATATATATACTGCAATAGGAAGTGGGAACAATGAAGGACAGAGAGAGCAATGGGAGAAGAGGATGACTAAGGAGGAGCGCAATAAAACAATGGCGACAGGGGAGCATGCCTTTTCAAGTTATGATCATCCTGTCTGTGACACAGTCCGAATAAAAGACGTGGCAGAAGAGTCATTTTCAAAATTTTTCACCAGGGACTCACTACTTTAGATGAGTTTTCCTCTGGACCTTAACTTACTTTATGAGCTGTTGTGGCTAATTCATCAACCTGTGCTCAGTATTTGGGGTATGAGCTTCAGGACTGCGGCAATCGCTATCTCTTTGTATTTCAGTTACCTTAACACTGTGTCCAAACTGTAGATTGATAACTGTGTTCTAAGGTCAGAGTAACAATTCTGCAAAGGCAAAGCATTCACACTCCACCATGTCTCCAAGAGAAACACCTCTATTGCAGCTACTAAAACTACAAGCAGCGGCTATTGAGTATGACTACGACTCAACATGAAAAAACAACGTGTCTTACTTGGAGTGTAGGGAGGGTAGTTGAGATTGTTATCCGCACAGCCCTTGGTCGATCCTTTCTGGAAGCTGGCCACCTCATTCATGTCCTGCAAGTACATCACAGATCATAGCTTTGGTGAAGTTTGGATTAAGAATTGTACTAATAATCTCAATGAGGTATGAAATGTCTACCACATTGGTAAAATTCCTGATAGTAAGTTGGTTTTAAATTTTTAGGGGTTTGGGGTCGACGCCTGCATTTAAAGTAAGTGGCGCCAGAGTGGACAAGATATACCAGTGTAACCAGCGGATTTACCAGTGTAACTATGTGACATCATTATTTTTATTTGTGAGAAGTTGCAAAGAAATTGTTGAAGTCAGTTGGTTTACTCTGAAATAACTTCTTCTTCTTTAAGGCCTCTGTTTTCAATGTTAATGTTGCACAGTTGTTATGGTGTAATATGATGGAGTATTATTTTTTTCACGCTTTGATACTTTAGCACATTTAACAATACTGCAGTTATACTGATAAATGTGATCATTTTCTTCATTGTAATCATACGACAATATGCTCACTATTTCCTGTCTAATTACAATTTTTCATGAGAGGCAACAAGTGTTGTGAACTGAAAATTATTCTATATTCATTTCAAACACCTGTCAGCTGAGGTCATTTTACCAACATGAGTAAAATCACCTGTATGAAATGTTTGATGTTGAGATGGGGAATAGTGCTGACTGCAGTAAACAGCCAGAGTGATAAGTGAGCCCAATCCATACTTACAGCTGAAGAATTATTAACCGTATAAGATGAATTTCAGCCTGTTTTCGTGTATGAGCTCAATGTTCAAACCAGAATGAAGTAATTGTCATTGCAAATATCAAACAAAATTCAGGGCTGCCACCCCTGGGCGCATGCAGCTGGCTGCAGAATAACAGTCAGCTTCAGAGTTTTTGGTTAACAAGCAGCTAACCAGTGCACACCTACGTTTTCCATGTGTAAAATTGACTTACAATCCAGAGGGCATCGTGTTTGATCTCCCTGGAGAAACGCTCGTACTCATCAACCCACCAGTCAATGCAGTTTTGGCTGGTGTAGTCTGGGAACACTGTCTCTCCCGGCCACACCTGAAAGGCAAAGACAATGAGATGCTGCGTGTTTACAAGAACTCTTTAAATAGTTTTCAGAATAAAACTCTGAGGTCGTTAGCTTGACAGGCACTCCCTTTAGGTTTTGTTATGGCAAAGTGGAAGCCGTTAAAAATTCTATTTAAAAGTAGCCACACATAGGTTGGCCTTGTGTAGACAAGAACCTAGCCTGCACAATACTTTACATGTGAAACAGTATGATAGGGAATGATCAGCTAAGATGGCGTAGGCGTAGCGAGCTCCGCAGCAGAAACTGACAGAAGAAATGTCAGAGAAACAGCTTAGAGATGTGGAAATGACAAAGAAAAGAGGACAGAAGAATGATGAAGAGAGGGTGGGGGTGGGATTGGTGTGTGTGTGTGTGTGTGTGTGTGTGTGTGTGTGTGTGAGACAGAGATGGCAAAGGAGAAAGGGGATAGAGAGACGGATGAGTTGAGTAAAAGAACAGAGGAGAGGAGAAATCGATAATGCAATAGAAATCTCTAGACGTGACTGTGTTAGAAGTCGTCCTTAATGACATGTATTGAGAAAAATGATTAATCCAGAGAAAAGCCGAGATTTTCTATAGATGGTGTGTGTGTGTGTGTGTGTGTGTGTACATTTGTGAATGCGCCTTTCGAGCACAGTACATATTTAATCTCAAGGTTGCTCCTCTGTTGCTATCTTTTACCTTTACTTCCACTGCCAATAACTTTACAACCCAGTTTGCCGCAAAGACATGAATCATGCTCACGTACGCTCACATGTGCACACACATATTTACACACACTTGCACACAGATTTATAGGCAGAGGTTTTTGGCAGGTGGTCAGAACTCCAAGGTCATGGATCATTGATAGTATACCGCACATTTTCCACTTCTCTTTTTTCCAGTCATGTCTTCCTTCCTTTTTAACTCCAGATTTTGACGACTCCAGCTTCTTACCGATGCTGACAGTCCAGTAAACACTTTGAACAAATGTGTTAGCATTTGCAGCGTATTTCACCCTATATCTTTATGTCCATTTGTCTGTTTTTATGCTTGTCAGTCTGCATATCTATATCATTACCTTCTCCAGCTTGTCTTTATCTGCCCCTCTGCCTATTCTTCAAAGTATCCTGTCTGTCCCTATTTTTGTTTTTACTTGATAATCTGTCTCTTTGTCTCTTGTATCTCTCTGGCACTGACTTCCTGTGTACCAGCCTGTCACTCTCCCCTCTGCTCAGAAAGACAGCCAGTCTGTCTCCCTGTGCATTTCCCTCTAATCTATTATTTGTGTCTGTCTGTCTGCCTACACCTGCCTTTTTCTCAGCCTTGTTTCTGTCTTGTCATGCCTACCTTTAAACCTGCAAACTCCTTTTACGTATTTATATATATATTTTTGTTTTTGCTCCCAGCTGCTCTGTTTACTCCCATCCACGTTTGCCTCGGTGCTCAGAACAGATCTGTGTGAGTGAGGTCCTTGCTATGATTTCACTTGTACCCTGAAACATATGGGGCAACAGAAAAAGCTTTTATCCTTATCTTTGCAAGCAATTAGCCATCTTGAAAGCAGAATAAATATCAGCCATGCCTCTGCATCTCCTTTATCACTGGCATGGCTACCGCAAAGGTCATTTTGCAAAGACCCTAATGTTTTCAAAACAGGCACACATAGATCTATTATGGTGGGGGCCTGGGGGTGCAGTTGGAATAGAATCAATTAAAATCACGCATGTGACATAAAGCACAAACCAAGACTAGCTTCTCATTTAGAGAAAGCAGATGCACTTGCTCTCTCCACCTCATGCATGTGTACACACACACACACACACACACACACACACACACACACACACACACACACCTGTGATGCGCTCATGCAGAACCTTTTAAGATTAAACACCAATGTGGAATCATTGCATATGTTTGACCTGTTACAAACAGCTTGAAAAAGCGATTAACAGATGGGACCGGGCTTAATTGTGTGTGTAATCAAAAGCAACATTATAAAACCACGGGAGCAACAAACTTTAACCCCCCTGTGTTCATCTCTTTCTGCGTTGTAGAGCTTTTTAAACCCATCAACAGGGCTGAACTACTATTGGGAGAATATTATGGTTTGATTGGGACACGCATTCATATGCATCTATTTTACAGCTGTGTTGCATGGTGAATTCTATAATGTAAAGTAGGCCTGGGCCGATAATCAATAAATCAATTAATCGCATGATAAATTAAAATGAACTCGATAATTTTTCCGGCCTCGATATATCGCCATGTGCATGCGCGTTTGTTTTCCTCGTCTCTCGCCTCCAAGCAGGCTGGATGACAAGAGGGTTCACTCTGTGTTCGGTCTCAGCACCTGGGGGCGTTTGTTGCAGAATGAATGGAGTGAACCCTCTTGTCAGTCATCCAACCTCTTTGTCTCTGTGGGGGGAGGCGGGGCCGCTAGCATTAGCCGACAGTCAACACTCACTGAGGTGTTCGGTCGACAAAGTCAATATAAACGGAACAGCGCAAAATGGTGTGCGCTCATTGAAAGTGAAGTTCGCTACATCGCTAAAGGTAAAAAAACACTGAGAAATAAAAGTTTATTGTCTTTGAAAGGGTGTGCATTATTATTATATATTATCATGTTGACAATAATATCGTTTATCGGCAATAATTCATGTGACAATATATCGTCCAGCAAAATTTGTTATCGTCCCAGGCCTAATGTAAAGGCCCACACACTCAATGGCACAACATGTAGCAGAACTTCAGCGCAGTTGGATTTCTATTAGTCATTAAATCAACAGATTCAACATGATTCTATGTGTCACCAACGTCGTGATGTTGCTTACTTTTTCATGTTCTGAAAAACTCTAGCCAACTCAAAAGATTTAACCTTTGGATGAATTTGACCCCATTGAATCTTTAATGTCAGTAAATAAATGAGTATCCATTTTATTTCAATATTTAGTGACTGTTTACCAACAGTTCAAAAACTGCATAAAAGTGAAATTGCAAACAACCTCATTGAATTCTCTTTCCTATCTTGACTATAATGTAGTCACCCTGCACTGGTACTTTTTTTCAAAATCAATATTGAGTATGATGTTTAAATTGTGTATTTGCTTAAATTTAGATAAGAACTTCATTAAGGCTCGCTCATGTCGTCCAACTCATTGTCTTTTACCTGAAGTCAACTCACCTCGCCCAACAAAGGAGTTTCCCCATCTGATTCAGTTACCCAGGCTTTCTTCTCATTCCCACGGTCGTAGGAGCCATATGGGGCATTCCCTACTCTCTTACTGGTAGCTATCGCAGGATCCTGGGTACAAAGACACATGTTGATATGAAAGAACAGTCGACATTGTTGTAATAAAATATTCAATAAGTTGGTGTAGCTAACTCAGAAAACTAAAATAAACAAAATGTGAAACTTGATTCTAGCTGGAATACAGAGCAACTGTTGGCCTCTGCCAGGATTGGCTTCTCCTGGTTTGTTCAGAGTCAGGATCTCAAGGTGCAGCCAGCACCAACTGTATATCAAATTTTTTCTGGAAATGCTGCATCTCACTAGAGATACTGGGGGAAGATCTGGACTACCTGCTCCCACCACAACACAACTGATACCAGATAAATGGCAGAAGACGGATGGATAAAGATGGATTGATATATCAACCCATCATCACAATCATTGTCCCTGTAATGTGATATATTAACCACACCCTGAAAATACAAGGTGCAGTACCAACTACTGACTTGTTAGCATTGGAGGCATTGAAGTTGGATGTTTCAGATAATAATACTTTTCTTACCAGGATGAGGATGTATCTCTGCCCCTTCTGATGGAGGTAGTCAGCAAACTGAGGAAGCTCGCTGAATTTGACTTTGTCGTAGGTGAAATCTTTCTTATCCTCCATGTAGTCTATGTCAGTGTACTGAATGTCCTGCATGGGGATAAAAACACAATGTCTGTATGCGGAGAACATGCGCATGTAATACTTTTAATATCTAACTATTAATATCATACAATTTATAAAAAAAAAACAAAAAAAAAAAACATTTAAAATAAATATTCTCAAGCATCAATTACCCAGTCTTGCTTTGACTTGCTTACTTTAAATAGGTTGTGCCGAAACATAAATGGACATGGTCAAATGCTAGCATGACTTCCTTCCCCTAAAATCCCAATTGCATCATTCAAAAATCCAATATGACGCTTAATAGCTCTTAAATCTGTAACACTCATGCATTTACTTCTTTGCTTTTCTTGCAAATGACCTCAAAATGGTAGCATCTGCAGTATGACTTGAACACATCGTCCTAACACAGTATAAAGGTTAATGTGCTGCTAAAACTTGGAATGACAATGGGGATGTTAACACATTCTTCTGTTATTTGCCAGGGTGTGACTTGCTCTCTGTCTGACTGTCTGCCAAAGTGTCCTACATGTCGATAGAGCAGAGGGTTTGGACGGCTCTGCCAGCTCCTTCCTCTAATGGTAATCAGTTCCAGACATATTAGGGGGAATGTGATAATGCCCTCTGTGGTCTATCTAATGGTTATCAAATATGTCCCTGAGTAAAGCAGGAGAGGAAGCGGCTGCTTCCTAATGTCTTTGGATATGAAAGAGAGATTGGAGATTATCAGAGGGAAATATTGAGACGGGTTGCGAATTTGTTTGTATTTGATCTTTAAATAAATGAGTTCAAACAGAGTCTGTAATTGCTGCTGTCATCGTGGACTGTGATACAGTTAACGTGTTTTATGGCAATATAAAGATTAGGTGTAGGAGTTTGCATTAGTAATTAAGGAATAAAAAGTACATACAACACCACAGCTCTGTGCACAAGACCATTCTTACAGTCAGCAGGCCCAGACGGAGATAAGCAGCGAGGCCCACTCCCAAGAAAATGTCAACCAGAACTGGTATTTCTCAAGTGTTGGAGTAGTTTTAACATTCAGATCAGGATGAATGAGATAATGAAAAGAACTCAGTCGATTGATCTTTGATCAGCGCTAACGTTCAGTGATGTTTGAAAAATAGTGGTCCTGGGATTGAACCTATAGAGCCCAGCAGACTCTCTATTATTTGACAGAAAGCTGGATTACCCCGTCTAAGCTAAAGGGCATCCCTATCACTCTGGCTGTCTGTTGAACTCCTGCTTTGACCTTCATATCACGTCTTCACAGATAGTGTAGTGGTTAAGGCTCTTTCTTCTGGAACCTCACAGTAGTGCATGAGTGGTTACAATTTTAACGAGGTGTGCATATAGTGAAGTATTGCTTTCCACCAACTGGCTGCCATTTGTTGAAATTTGCATTTGCACAGCACCAATTTATTGATATAATATAGAGAATGCCATGTAACTGATTGAGAAGAATGATCTCGTGCCTCTAATATGGTTTGTGGCAAGGCTGTATGACTGGAGAAATGCAGGCATCCCCATCGAGGGATGGCTACAAAAACCTGGTATTATTACTGTAATATCGAGAAGCTCAGACATTATCGGTTCTGCTCTCAATTCAAGAAAATAGATTTTATTCTTGCCACAGAAGAGTTAAAAAAAAAAGAAAAAGATTGCTCATTCGGAGGGACTGGAGCAGCTCTCTTTAGTGGGCATGTGCACCCAAATACATAAAATATCGAGCATAGTATTTTATTAGAAAACAGATGGGACATAGATTACCCGGCATACTTCATGCAAACAGCCTTGAAAATAAACTTCGCTAAAAAAAAGTATGCAGACTGGAGCTTACGTATGGGAGGCTCACGGCGCGGTTCCTCTCCACAGTTTTCTTGACCTCACTCAGGCTGCCGTAGTCCCACCGAGAAAGCTGGAACCCCAGAGACCAGTAGGGAGGAATGACGGGCTTGCCAATGAGCTGGAGAACACGATTGGACATGTTAATGCATCTGCTATTCCAAGATGACAAACAACAGACTTGTGCCACATGTTTGTTCCCTTTTTTGATGAAAACAAATCGTTTCCCACCTCAAGGAACTCCTGCACCACTTGTTCTGGTGTGTCCCCAAAGAGAATGTAAAAGTCAAGGATTCCTCCAATTGTCCTGTAGGTCACAGCTGGAGCGGGCTGCAAGGTCACCTCTGAACCAAAAAAACAAACAAAAGGTATGGACGCCACAAACTTCATTCTGCCTTTATTTCTAACTTTACAAAGAAAACAACCCTCAAATGCCCCCTCACAAAATTGTTAACCATCAAACCCTCTACTTTGAGAAGTTGTCTCATCTTTTTCTCCCTCCAGAGGACTTCTGGACCCCCACTTTAATCAACACACCTTCCTATCAGTCAAGATAATCCATTAGAGGTAAAAAGGGCTTTTATATAGGGAGACTATAGACATGAGAGAGAGAAACATGTCAGCAGACATTCCCTTTGCTTTCAGTCATCTCCTTCATAAAATAAAGCAGCCTTGCAATATTCTCTTTGATGTGTCAGCACAATGTTTGATTGAGGCAACAGTAGATCCATTTGTGTAACAAGAGAGGCTCCTAACTGAAAACCCTTGAACCATTTTGAAATGGTTTTCTTCTCCCCGATGATTTGCAGGCCTGTGAATGTGCATGCGTGTTTTGTACTATATGTTTATGTGCATTCTTCTTTTCAGTGCCCAGATGTTACTGCTACCTTTCATTTGAGTAGCTGCATCTCTCAAGGACATCTGCATTGTTTATGTGCTTGCACATTGCATGCAATTGTATACGTCTAAAGGGCCAGCATGTGCATTTGAGTGCGTGTGTTTTTCTTTACCCATGGCATTGCTGTTCATAAGGAAGACCCCGAATGATTTTCCGCTCTCATCCTCCAAACAGAGGAAAAAAGGATAGTGTCCATAGAGGTTATGTGTTCCCTGCAGGGAAGGTGGAGAGATGGAGGGGTGAAGGGATAAAGGGAAAAAAAATGTGAGTCAGATGCGGGAGAAGTGGGAGATGTATTGAAGCTGAGGGGGTGACTTCTCTGCCTAATCAGCTTACAAGACATTCAATTATAAACCCTTTGGGAAGGAGAAAACACATGTAGGGAGCTCATGTAAACATGCCACTTACACAACATGCATAGGCTACTACACACACACACACACACACACACACACACACACACACACACACACACACACACACACACACAGCAGTTGCATTATAGCACATGTATAGGTGCAGATACTCTGTCTTTATGACATAAATGTGAATGCACACATTTACCTTCATGAATCAATATAATTGAAAATTGATATTGAACAGTACTTCTCACCCCATTAGGAAAAGCATCTCTAGTAAAGATGGGCCAAGTTCTCCAGTTTGTGTCATGGCGATACTGTTGGTGCACATGCTCTCCCAGGCCATAAATGTTATGGGATGGAAGCTTAGCAGACAGCTGTAGGTACTGGTCTGCAAACACCAGAGGAGCCATCGTAGTGTCAAACCTGAATGCATTGATACAAAGAAATAAAAACAAAAGAACAGGTCACCACCACTGGGAATTGAGGAGATGGACTGACGTGAAGGACAGAGCCGTGAGAGCTGGACGGACATGTGGTTGAGTTGAATTGTAAGAAGAAAATGGGAGAAGACAGACAATGCCATCACGCTCTGATAAGCCCTCTGGGAAGCATTTCTTTGCCTTTAAATCAAGACATACTGGCTGCATACAGCTGCCATGTCAAAGACACAGTGACAAAATATACAAGCAAAGGCAATAAAGAGTATACATTGTTTTTGCATTGTCATGAAGCAAGGGCACAGAGATAGTTCACCCAAAAATGAAAATTCACTCATTATCTAGTCACCACTATGCCATTGAAGGGATGGGTGAAGTGTTTGAGTCCAGAATTTGAATGTTGGGGCTTACGGACACTTGGACGACACCACACGAGCAGTATGGAGGCATTTTCTGTTTTTTTCTGTTATTTTACGTTTGAAGAAAGGGTTGCCAGTTGTATCCAATTGTATTGGATTTGGCTGCAACATTGTTTACCCCTGAAACTCTAAAAGTGTTTTGTGGACACAAGGACCTCACCCACCCCTCCATTGGTATGGTGGTGAGTAGATAATGGCCCAATCCCATATCAGCCCTTCTCCCTACCCCTACCCCTTGTTTTCCAGGGTTATCTTCCCCCTTGAAATGGAGTTACAATGGGTAGTGGTTGAAATGTCCCATTGGGACAGCACTCCAAGAAACCATTACATCATCAGTAGTTGTTGTGGGAACCTGACAGGTCATAAGTAGTCTTCGATGTAAATAAACAAAAAGTTTCACCGAGGGTGTCATCGTAATAACACTGGAAATTAAAAAAGTTTGGATGCTCTGCATTATTTTGCATATAAATCAAAAGCACACAGAGTGATAATATCTGATCCCTTCATCAATAAAACGTCTGTGGAATTGATACATAGGAACGTATTGCAGTATTTTGTTTTGAAAGAGAATATAAACCTTCAAATTACTTTATTGCTGTAGTGGTTATATCCTGCTTATGGGAATTACACATTATAAAATGGTTATCAAACCATTAAACAGTGAATGAACTATTGCTCTTGATAACAACAAAACAGTTGCTGAAGCACATGCAGCACAAATGTATCAATTAGTGCATTTGTGATCCCACAAAATCAATGCTGGGATTATCTGTTTATGAATAAATTAACACTTCACATGTTTACATTTAATTAGATGTTCTGAGAGTCTTTGTAATTCAGCCACTGGGAGACAATGGCATGAACTTTCTTGTAAGTCATGATAAGTACAGTGTAATGCAGATAAGAATTTCCTTTGGACTGGGCAAGAAAACAATATCAATAGTTACTGCAATATCGTTTTCATCAAAAACAATTTAACCAATATATCTTTAAGTGTTTATTTATATTCATTCTGTGCTCAAGAAGGATAGAGTTTAAAACCACAACCTTGGCTGAGGAGCAAAAATCAGTCTTTGAACTTAAAATAAGAAATAATGAGACATTTTATATGATAATTATTGATACCGACTGACAGGACTTTTTTTTTTTACATCTTGATATTAATTTATTACCTCTCACCTGCTTACACCACTAAATACAGAGTGATAATGGTCATTCACAGTGACCTTTGTAAACACAATGTTGTGACAGCAGAGGAACGTTGGAGCCATCTGACTTCTAAACAGCCTATAATCTTCTCCAGCTAATCTTCAGAGTAATCTCACTGCTTCTGGTTGAAGGTCGTGCAGTGTTGAGAAAGAAAACAATCCCTCTTCATGCACCAGTAAGTGATGCAAATCAATGGTGCGAGCATAAGGTTGTCATGTGACAAAACAATGATTCTCTAGCTTCAATGTAATGTGGATAATAAGCTCTGCTTTACAGACAACACTGAAATCACAGGATGAGAATGCATGAGAGTTTGTCCGGACAATAAATGTCTCAGTTCAATTTTTCTTTGTAAAGAGCTGTAGCTTCCAACTTCCTTGAGAAGAAGCAGGAGTCTTCTCGATTAAAGAAACATTTGCAGGAACATTTGTCGTACGCTGTGAATGATCCTGAACAGCAGAGCAGCATGGGCTCTGAGGAGCGATTGATCTCATAATGTCACCAAGGGCTCACCAAGTGTGCCGTGGATTGACATGGACATAATTACTTGTTGCTGTAGTGAACAAACATGGGAAGGTGTGGCACATCATTACACGGGGATAATGCATAGGAATGCGATTATATGGTTGCTGCACACACTTCCTCAGAGGATTTCTAACATATTTGCATTAAATGAGGTACAAAAGAAAATCATGTTAATGTACTGACAACTGTCAATTCTCAAATCTGTGAGCTTGGGAAGCCTGGGCACTGTTTATAGTTTATATGGTGGTTGGCATCCACATGATCTACTCTCAGCCTTGCTTGCAGTATCAGCTTCATAATATCTACCATTTTAAATAGGCATAAATCAATGTTTATATTGTGATTTTTGAATATATACAGTATGCATAGTTTGCTGTCTTTTCTATTAGCATCACTGCACACAAGTAATGACACTGTCCTTCTCTCCCAGCCTCCCTCTGCATCGAACACAACATGTGGAAAAACTGCACAGTGAGCACTCACAGCACTTTCTTGTTCTCCTTCCTGCGCACAGTAAGGCCAAAGGGTTTCTGTGAGAGCTCAAATGTGTGGTGGATGGGGCTGGATGGCTCACTCCTGAGGCTGCTGGTGTGTTCATGCGGGACCTCAAACCTCTGCTTGTTGGCATCATAGATCTGAGGGAAAGGAAACAACCGTATAGGCAGCGTGAGAGTGGCCCTGCGATCATGTCCCCACTTTGTTGTGTGTATTGCTATTTCTGTCGTCTTTTGTTCTGCTGCAGTCACGTTAAAGATGCTTTGATTAAAGAAAAAAAAAAAAAACAGCTTTAAAATTAATTTGACTTGACTAGATGGGTCATGATTTCCTCTGATGTCTAAACGTAGACGTGTGAGGGATGGTCTCTGTTGGCATGTACCTTAAATCTGAGTCGGTTGTCTGACTGCATTTCAGCGTGAAATGACAGCTCTTGTATATCATTCCCAAACAACGAAGGAGAGGCCATTCTCTTCAGCTGGGCTTTCATCACTGCAGTTCAAACACATGATGATATGAGGGTAAAGGTTACAACACAGGAAGAAAAACACTCGTAATCACTCATTTATAACTGCTGCGTACGCATGCAAACAGAAGGATGAGGAGAAAACAAGTGTTCAGTGATCACATGTGTTTTTTTGTCCCATGATGATGACGACTAACAGATTCTATTGATCTGTGATCTTGGATCTTTGTGCTGACAAACACAAGTACTCACCACTCTGGTTTATTAGCTGACAGGTCTGTGAGGTATGATTAACTGTATAATATTTACCTTTCTATGTAAAGCCTCGTTAACTTTCATAGATTGGGAACATCACAATTAATCTCTGAATTTAATAATCCTGCAGTTTTGGATGATTAAAAAATGTATACAACAAGTTCCTCACATTCTGACATTGCCATTAAGTTTTTGCTTCCTTCTTTCTATCGTTCTCACTCACTGTATTAACAGCAGCAGTGTATCTGTGTATTTTCTTAATGACATCACTGCTTTCCCATAAAATCTTCACATCGCTTGATGCCATGATTCACTGTGGAAACCTTTTGGTCAACAAGACAATTTAATATTCATGAGGTGCTTTGCATTGACCATTTATGGTTGAATGTGGGCGTGTAGGAGGTGGAATATGAGGCAGAGCCACGTAAGAATGTTTCCAGGTGGACTGTGATTTATAAAGTGAACATTGCGTTCAGGCGTGCACACTCAAGGTTTTATTACGATATATCTTTTTTTCATTTTTTGCGCACATACACTTCTCGTATGAATCCTACACACCAATTTATAAATGAGGCCCCTGGACAGGTTTGAAATGGGTGAAACCCTTTGAAAATGTATGATGTCACAACACTCAAGTACCAATAAGAAGGATCGACAAATCATCCCACCCCAAAAAAATAAAAAAAACATTTTCTTCTGTGTTTGGGCCTCTTTACGCAAACAACATTTCAAGTTAACTTGAATGAAAAATATTTTTCTGTCTGATTATTAAACAGGCTTTACATGTGAGTCTTTTTTTTTTTAAATCACAATGTTCCTCACTGATATTTGCTGGATGTGCTGTGCACCCAGAGCCGTAGACAATCACTGCAACAAAAAAAAGTCCTAAATTTCAGAACTCCACCAGATAAACTGGAATGTGAATCATTTCAAACACAGATATATTCCCAGGTTATTCATTTACCAGTATGATCAAAGGGTGCACTTTGCTTACACAGCTCAGCTGCCTCTGAGGTAAACGCTGGCAATTTGCATAGTAGCCTTGAGCAATACCTCGGCAGAATGCATGGAGAATACTTGAAGACAGTTTAACTTGTAAAAGAAGAAGGAACGCTTTCATGAATTTCTTGTGTTGGTTACAGTCTTTGTTCAATAATATCAATCCAATCTACGACTGTAAATGATTTTTGCATTTTTCAATTCAACCACTGTTGACACAAAACACGCCCCAAACACATGCATAACATTTCAATAAAAAATCATAGTATTCCAATAATGTGAGTACAAATGTTGTAGTTCAGACTTAATATAACATTTCCAATGTCTCTTCTTGCCTTTATGCACTAACCCAAGTTCACATAGGGCAGTGAAATCAAGCAGAAAATGGAAAAGTCTGCATGGCGCAAAGTCAATCATGTTTTCTAATATGCCATCCATGTCATATTTCACAGAAAACTTTGCCTCAGGCAAAGTGAGTGACGAGAGAAAAATGATGTGAAGAGGACGGACAGACTGAGGGAACGTGAAGTGGATAGAATTAGAAAATAAGCTAAACTGAATGTCAAATGTTTTCACCGGTCAGTGAGCACATGAGTGAGAAAGCAGGGTAGCGAGAGAGAGAAAGAGAGAGGAGAAAGGGGATTTACCAAAAGGATTCGGCTGCTCCACTGATTCCGCTGTGTAACCGTGGTTGGTTGAGAAGAAACACCAAGGAACATTTCTCTCATCCAGGGGAGCCCAGCAACATCCACGTTGTTCACATTGTAGCTGTTAAAGTGGGACGGTTGCCGTTATTATTGTTATTATCATCATCCACAGCACCATTAGTGTCGGTAATTTCCAGCTTCCCACTCTGTTCATGGACTATTGCATTATAATAGTCTTACATACCTTTGAGGCTCCTGCATCAGGGAAACAGTCCACTCTTTCAGCCAGGGAAATATTTGGACACTGAGGAACGAATGGGTCTGTTGTAGTTCCTGCAAAACACAAAAAAGGTTAAAACCAGGTATTTTGCAGAATTTCAAAGTGAAAATCCAGTTTTTTAATGATTTAAGTCTGATTTAGTCTGTTCATGAACTTTTGTATTCATAAATATTTTAGACAATAGCTCTGTCTCAATCCAGGGGCTGCATCCTTCGGAGTTATTGGAAGACATTGAATCACAGCGGCACCACTGGGCAATCCCATTTCAAAGTCTCCTTCAAACATGGCCAAATAATGCATCCTTTCATCCCAGAGAAATGAAGGCTCATACAAGTGGATCCCTCCTGGCCCAACCTATCACAGGATTCATTGCGCCGATAGACCCTCACTGGGCTACACGGCCCACAAAGACTGCCTTATTCATGGGCCAGGTAGACCACATCCTCCGAAGTTTGTGGCCTAAGTAGGCGGAATTGTGACACAGCTATAAAAGTACTAGAGTAACCAGCCAATTGTGAAATAATTCAGCTTCTTCTTTTTGTTTCTATCTGCAAGGGCATTTTTACCTACAGACTACATGACAACATCACACCAACTTATCAGCAGGCCCATTTGTTGAGATACAAGCCGGCATGCATGTCTAACATCAGAACGGTGTGAAAGATATACCATTGAAGAGTAAAGGGAGGGAAGGACAAGGGACGATAAAATGCATGTGATTATGGTCGTGTCACTGAACACACTTTTGAAATATCTTGTTACTGTATCAAGACCTCGGGAAATAAATCCACCTCTGTGGCTGGCCACCCTTTTGTCTTTGTTCAGTTATTTTTCTTTAATACTACAAATTACAGTGTGTTTTAATATTCCAGTACTTGAAAGAGTAAATTATACATTACATGCACATATCTCCAGCTTTCTGTTGATCACTATTAGTGATAGTGCTCCTTAAACACATAAAAACATGCAGATCCCCGGCAATACCACATAGCACGAGTGGGTGTATATTATTCCATCTATCTGTATAATCTACTATTGTGACTATTATTTAAGATCATTTTTAATATGTATATCTGCACATCATGCATTATTGTAAATTGCATGTACTATATCTGGATATTTGTTTTCACCTACCTTCTGTCCCAGGTTCCTCGATGACAAACAGAACAATGAGAGCGATGGCTACCACAGACATCAGTACGAACATGACCATGAGGCTCACCTCCAAACCTGAGAAATGCCTTTTCCCCATCTAACAAACAAAAATCACACATAACCATGTTTACTAAAGGCAAGGTCTCAAAGGTCTCAACCCCCCCTGCTTAGTGAGGCCCATTGGCAGGACACACACACACACACACACACACACACACACACACACACACATTCAAAAGACATTACATTTACTTACATTGATTTCTTGGAGACTTAACTCCAACCTCTTCCACAGTTACTACTTGCCTAAACCTAACCAGTACCTAATCCTCGTCCTAACCTTAAACTAACCTTTAATCTCTTCTCGAAACAGTAAATGATTTACGCTTTTTGTCCCCATGATGACTATGTAAATGAATTTAGGTCCCCACAACATGAGTAATACCTAGACCACACACACATGCACACATGAGGACAAAAGATGATTGTGTTTATTTGCGCAGAGTGGTGAAGTGAGATTCCATCACAAGTGGTCACAGCTCTTCTATAATTGTATTCGCTCATGCTGGCTTGTGCACCTGGGCCTGCGCACGCAGTTGCGGGATTATATCGTCAATCAGCAGTTGTTGGGCTAATGAGGGCCTATTGGAAAATTTTTTGCATATGGCCCATTTCTAACACATGCACAAAATACCATGTAGGAAACACAGAGCTGACAGACACATCATTCTCTTTGCAATAACATTTCAGCTACACTGAACAAATAGAAATCAAAGGAGGAAATGGACACAATTTTCAAAGAGAGAAACAAGAGTTGACGAAACTGTCTGACGAGCCAGATGTAGTTATTGCAGAGGCACCCATCATATCACTCAAGCAATTAGGCTTCATTCCAATGTACCCTTTGGAGACAAAAACAAGGGGAATGTCTGCGAGTGTATGTGTGTGTGTGTCTATTTGGGTGAATGAGAGGCGTATAGCCATCCTGTTTAATGTGCTGTGAAGAGCAGGCGAGGGCAAAGAGAGAGACACAGAGCCAAACCTGTTCATGCCCCCTGTGTTTTTTTGCAATCAACTGCACATCATAAAAAAAACACTGAAAATCTCCAGGAAAACATGCAATGTCACACAGAGATTCATACAGTACAAACCCTTTTGCCTCGCTCTCTCTTCTTAGCTAAGTCCCTAAAAATAGCTTCCACCCATAAGACCATATCATTTTACTTCTCCCAACACGCAGACACATTCATAACACCAGTCTGGGGCACTTTATGGCTGCCCTGCTCACGTTTCCATGGGTAACAGCAGTTTAAAAAATATTGTCCGATATTACATTTGAACTTCTACTTAATACCTTAGCTTCACCGGTTGCTTTGAGACATACCCGTAAAAGTTAATGTTCACCAAAGAGGCAGTTTGTCACCTGTAATTATGTTTAAGACTAGAATAAAAATGTATGGACCAGTGCAGTGTTTAAAGGACTAAATAAATAAAAAAGAAACTCATAAGAAACAGAATTCTAACCCCTCCATAGACTCATGCTCATCAAGGCTGCATTGCATTTTACAATAAGTTATTTGCTGTAGAGGCAAAAAACGACACGTCACCAGTGAAACAAACTTGGTCACAAACTGTTCAAATGAATAAGAAAAAGAAAACATCCATCTCATCCAAGACATGCAATATTTAAATGCTTTCTTTGAATGTATTCTCTTTGCTGTGGTTATTAAAGTCATTCTAAATTATATTGAAAATCATTGTGTATGGTCCACAAATGATGATGTTACGGTAAATGATGTTAATTACCGTATAGAAATGTAAGTGAGTTCTCGAGTATGTTAGTCTGCAGCTGCAGTCTTACCTTTGCTCTCTCCACAGTTGAAAACAAAGTGCTTCTGAGTTCAAGTGAGATAGAGCCTTATAATGCACGGGATGTATTGTGGTCATGTATTGTGGTCGTAGCGAGTTCACCCCTCTTTAACGGCTTACTGTGTGCGTGTGTGTTTTATAGTCTTAGCATGTAGACCCCGAAGCCATAAAATATCAGATAACCATGTCCAGTGTGAGAAAAATCCCTATATCAGTGTGTTAAAGTCCTCCTATCATGTTTTACTGCACACTGCACAAGTATACACAGTGTGTGTGCATGTTTGTATGGTTACAATTCACCAAATGATTACTGTGTATGGTTGTTATTTTATAAGCTGGGACTCAACGAAAGTAATCTTTATTCCTGTGTGACCACATCACCACTTCTCTGTCGCTGACACACACACGCACACACCTGATAGCATTTATTAGACAGGTTTTATCAGACACGAGAAGCAAACTGATTATTATATATTGATAATAAATCCACTGTTATCAAAGCTTCAGAGGCACTTAAAAAGTCATTTTTGTATAACTTCACTATATAATTGATAACAAAGTCAACTTTTGAACTGATGTAACAATGTACTCACGATTCTTTGTGTAAGACTGAAGCGACTTAGCCTTTAGGACAATCTGCTCTACACCCCTCATCAATAAAGCACTTCTGCCTAAAATGAATAGTTTAACATTTTTTGGAAATTATTTTTTTTCACTCTCTTGTCGAGAGTTCGGTGAGAGTATTGAATTCACTCTCATTCCCAAAGGCTAGAGACAGCAACTGTAGCTTAGCTTTAAAGGGCCAAGAAAATGTGTGTAGCTTAAAGCCTCACACAAAATA